TTTCTAATACAGCATTTCTAGTTGTAAAATTATATAACATATCTCCTCAATGTCTTCTTAAAACTCTAAAAATATTGCCAAAATGTATTATGTTTCTTAGATGCTCTTCATGCTCTGTGTTAATATTGGGTATATTATAGATGTATGTAGATGTAATAAAGAATTTTATAGGGACTAGTTTCTCCTTTTTGCAATAATCAAAATTACGTGTGGAGCTGAATGACTTATGTAAATATATTCCTGAGCAGAAATATTTCTATATCTCACTCCTGTTAGCTCAGTATGATAGATTGCTTAACATGCACATAAATGTAAAAACTTGAAAACAATTTAAATGTGTTTTGATAATGCTTGTAGGATAGTTAGCACATAGACTTCTTAAAGGGTCACCTCTGAAGGTAGAAACACTTTATGTTGCTGTGTTGCTAAACATTGTGTGTTACTGTTACTAGCATTTTCCCTAGAAGTTGATTTTATCAGTTCATGATCTGCACTCATGTGTCTCTTTAGGTTAGAAGAAATGTATTGACTTTCAATCTTTGCCAAAAGGAGCTAAGTGTCTCTCTCATACATTCTATTGGTTCACTGGTGATCTCCCAAACCCTAGTTCCAAGGCACATTCAGTTCCCTAACTCTGTATCTGTTATTGATAGCTAGAAACTTCATCAGAAATGCAATTTTGATGTTAAAATGTCAAAGCAGAGATTTTCAGTCCTTTCAGCTGTTTTGGTGACTGTGAGGTTACTGATAAACACCTTTTGCACAGTCACCCTCTGTGACCTGCATGTGCCTGTGTGGTTACAGTCACCCTCTGTGGCCTGTGTGTGCCTATGTGGGTTTTGTGTATGTGTGACCATCAGCTTTTTTTAATTAAAGACCTTCCCATGTAGCTTGTGGTTACTCTATATAAATAGATGAGTAAATGAGCAGTGGTGTATACTTTGGAGTTTTGGCTTTATGAATGGATTTTAAACCCCTTTCAGTTGTAGGATTACATATATAGTCTCTGTCATTTTGTCTTTGAAACTCTTGTAAACATAATTTGAGTAACTAATATAACTGAGATACTGTTTTTTTAATCATGGGAAAGGGCTTAATAAAAACAATTAATAAAATGAGGATTTTTCAGTCATTGAGGATTTATTGGGAATTTTAATACATACTGATCCATTTAAACCTCACAGAAACTTAGAAGGTAAGCATTCCTACTTAGAAATTGAGGTATGGAGTTTTAATTTCTTACCAGTTTTGTATAGCCAGATGATGGTTTGATGAAGAAAAGCGGAGAAATTATTTTGGAAAGAGATTTTCCAAATGTAACCCTGTTTCCAGTGAGTAAATTGGTGAGGCTAGGAGGCAGAGAGAAAGAAGGTTAGCAGGGCTTCCCTGCTTCCACACTGGAAAAAAAAATAGAAATAAAGAACTATGTTATTTCTGGTTTGCCCAGTTAGTTCAGTCCTGCAAACATATACCAAAGATGCCCATTTTGTACAGCTTTGTCCTTCTAGGTGATTTTGACTTCAGAGTTAAGTGAAGATAAGAAAGTTGGCTTAGAGGAGGATGTACCACTCTTGCAGAGATCCTAGATTTGGTGAGAGTAACTCCATTGGGTGGCCCTGGGGGATTCAACACCCTCTTCTGGCCTCCATGAGTAGCTTTGCTCATGTGTGTAGTTCCCCGACCCCCCACCATACATACACAACACATAATTAAAAACAAAATCATGAAGAATTAAATGTGCTATTTTTATGCTAGTAGGCAATCAAGTGAAGCTCTTAAAATTAGGAAAACTCAGAGACAGAATAGGTATATGATCTTGAACTACAAAAACCTTTCCTGAAAAGTGTTTCCAAGGCTACAGTAAGTCAGCACAGAGTCATAAGTTAAATAGCTATGTGCAGCATAGAGGCTTAATGGCCAACGAGACTGACAATGAGAACAGAGTTTGGTTGATTGTGAAGGCTATATGAAGCTGTCTTCAGAGGTCCATCTCTGATGGTCACCTTTAGTTTCATCAGGTCTTAAATGTTTTGTATGCTAAGAAACTCCTTTGGGTTACATAGGCCCAAAGACAAGGACTTTTCTATACTCTGAAGATAGTTATTGGAATCAGATGGACTGTTTATCCTTTATGGGTTGTTCAGTGTGTCCAAGTGGTGGTGCTTGGTGAGAATAAACTCAAAGGAGAGTGGCTATCAGCCTTCTGTGCTCACAGGCTGGGTTCTCAGCCCTGCTGACTGGTTAACCAAGAAACCTGTGGTAAAAAGTTTGCTTTTCATGCAACATCCCCATTCCAGTAAATCTATCGCTCCCATTCCAGGCATAATCTAGTTAGTAAGTTAGGATGTGGTTTTCTCTTATAGTCAGTCAAACATAATTTTACACTGAATCTGAGAAATTTCTTCTTATGCCAAGATTAGCCATTAAGAGAAGGCTAATTATTTATAGAAAATAAGGAAGGTAAAATCTGTCTCTGAAAATCTTGCTGTGTATTTTTTTTTTTAATGCAAAACTCAAGTTTTTAAAACTTGAGGCATTCTCTTGTATTGCTTAGTTATACAGGCTGATTGAAGTGTTAGATATTCTTGTCATTAGATCATTTTGGCCATAAACATTTCTTAAAACTAATTGTAGCAATACCCAGAAAATGTATGACTTTCACATTCCTGAAAGAATGGCTATTTTGCTAGCTAGCTGAAGCTGTATGTTGTATTATATTCCTTCTGTAACATTTGCCTTGATGGTCCTTCCCTAGTGCCACTAAAAAGGTTGAGTATTTTCAGTGTGCTTAAGAAAATGCCACATTTGTCCACACTGTAAAATAAAACAAAGTAGCTGTATTTAGCAGTTGTGGATAGCATGGTTTGCATTCCCTGCAGTGATAAAGTCTGTCCTAGAGCATTTTGGCCTGCTTACTAGTGGGAAGGTCTCACTCTGATGCCTGCTTATTGCTTCCAGAGTGAGGGGGTTTACTGTGCTCTGGTGTCCAGGTACTGACTTAGACTGTTTTTTTTTTTTTGTTTGTTTGTTTGTTTGTTTTTTTTTTGGTAAACAGTATTTTGGGTGCAGATGTAGAAAGAGGTAAGCATTTTCCATTCTAGAGAAAACAGTGGCTTAATTTGGGAAGCCTCCCAATCCCAATTTATAACAGAGTAAGCATCTCATCCCTTGAAAAGAGCAGCTATCTACTCATGATTTAAAGAGGAGTATTGTCTGTCTCCTGAAGTAGGCTCTAGAAAATTGTCTGAATACTTCAAAGGGTTTCTATATATGAAAGGTAAACTTGGAGTCTTTAAAGTTGGTTCTTTTTAGGACCACAAGTAAATTACTCAGTGTAGACTCTGTGCAGTAAAAGTTGTCCCCAGGATTAATGTTGACAGTAGATGGGCCCTGCCTTGCTTTCAGGCATAAAGGTGTCAGTGGCTGTATTTCAGGCATTCACACATCTTTACAGTAGCAGTTCGCAACAGAAGTTGCATATCAGATACCCTGCATGTCAGATATTTATACTACAATTCATAATATTAACAAAATTACAGTTATGAAGTAGTAATGAAAATAACTTAGGAAGGCTGATAACCACTGCTCTAGAGATAGTATGTGGTAACTCTGTCCTCTCCGTCCTCTGCACTTGGGTGTGGACACCTTTGCAGTCACATGTTACATCCACACCCTAAGACATTACTAAAATGACCTCATCCACTTCCTTTATAGATGTGAACTGGAAGTCCAGCCTTCCTCTAAATTCTTAAGAGTTATTCTCATATCTGTAGGCTGTGTTTTCATTTAGAATAAAATATTGTTTTGAGAGGAAGTTGTATAGTACAATAAAAAGCAGAATTGTCAAATGCTATCATCAATTTCAAGGCATAATAAAAAAAACTAATGTATATAAAACATATAGCAAGACTGCCATCTTTTTACAAATCTTCAGGAAACTCTGTAAGTGAAATTACTGTTTGTTTCTAGTCTCCTACTTCTCCCTTCTAAAGGCTAGCTGCTTGTTCAGTATGCCTGACAGTTTGTCATCACAAGTGCTCAGCTAGCATGGCTAAATGTGAAGGACTGTGGTTAGCACTGCTAAAGGACATTCTGTATTTTCATGAATAGTTCTGGTTAATATTGTTATTCTCCACCGGCTGCCATATGTGAGCAAGTTAGTAAGGTCAAGTCAAGGGAGTAGGCAAAAATTTATATAATGTTTTTGCACATTTAAAAACTGTTTCCTTGGTATTGTTTTAAAATGTGCTTAGACTCTAAATTTTTACCTAAATGTAAGGTTGTACAATTTGTATGTTGGGTATTTGGATGTGGTAGTGTTTGTCAGCATAACTGATAGGTCCTCTGTTACTACAGTTTGCATCAGCATTTTCAGAAACTATCTTCTGTTGATGTGCTTCCCTTCTATGCCTGCATTACACCCTCCTTAAAACACCCAGAAGAGATTGTGTTGTAAAGATTTGGTTTGTTTGTTGGGAAAATAAGAAACGTCTTATTTTAATTAAGGATATTCAGCAACTAACTTTAGTTTTCATATTGAAAGACATAACATGATTAATTTATAGATTGCCTTATTGAATTTTGTAATTTATAGAAGTCTATAACACTGGGAGTTGCTAGCACTCTTTGCATCTTGGTAGTTCTGTATTCACTGATGGTCTTTATGTATCATTTGATATTCATGCATTTTTAATGTATATTTGCAGATAGTTGAGTGGAAATAACTAGGCTTTTAAAAGAATTACCAAGGAATCAGGTGTTCTCAGAGGTTATAATTGAATGAAATGGTTCTCATAGAGGTGTTTGACACTTTTTTATTTAGTATTTTTTTTAATGTGAGGTAATGTTGATTTTATTTCTCTAAGAGGGCACCAGGGTGTATATAGATACACAAACTTGTTAACTATCTAGAATATTTTCTGAATAGGCTTCAGTAGTTCATAAAGCAGAAGTATTGATAAATTTGTTACGTCTGAATATAATTTTTCTATATTTAATAGGATACAACATCTATTGAAAAGATGTCAAACTATTGCGAAGAAATGTAAGTATAAAGTTTATAGTGATCTTATTTAAAAATAAAAATAACTGATCACCTTAGAATTGTGTGCATATGTTTAATATAGGAAAACTGATATAATGATGGCTTTTTCTTGGTGCCCCGTCTGAGGCCCAAGCTAGACAGGCGTGTCTCAGTCTTACAGGAGGGGTCTTTCAGCCATCAGAGGTTTTAAACAAAATAAGTACTGATCACTCTTGTTTCCTGTCTCACAGAAGTAAGTTAAATTATTTGTCCTGAAAATACATCAAAAGAGATTTGCTACTGTGTTGTTGACACACATTCAGTTATGCTGAGCTCCTCCTCTGCTTCCAAAGTTACCCTGGGTTGATTGACGACGCAGATACAATATCTGCTCTTCAGAGCTGAAGCTCAGCTGCATGCCACATTGAAAGAAAAGCTGTATTTGTGATGCTGGGACACAATGCATCAGAGTCCAGTAATGGATCCCCAGCCAACCTGTATTGTTTTAGCTGACTGAAGTGCACCATGGGAGTGCTGTCTTTCACTAATAATGCTGTCTTCTGTAGATCGCGGCCCCGAAAACCATGGCAGCAGACCTTCTCAGAAGTTTTTGGCACTCGTTGGAAGATCCTGTGGTTCATTCCTTTCAGGCAGAGGCAACCACTGCGAGTTCCCTACCACTTTGCCAATCACGTCTAAACAGATGGATGGTGGGCACAGATGGGTCCTCCATGCTGGAAATGCGTTACAGGTTTTATGAGAATAGAACTATGACAGTCTTCAAGTCAATTAAAATCCACCCACCAATCTTAGGCATCATAATGTGCCCCAGGCTTTATTTTAATAGTGATCTTGATCCTGTTGTGGGACTAATACAAGATCTATATTTAAGTTTTAAAAGCATGTTTACTTTCAAATTAGCCCTCCACCAGGACTTCTTAAAATGCTTTTGTTACTAAACTCAAAAGGCAGTGATTGGGATAAAATAATTGTACATAAATTTCCTTCAGTGCTCATAGTGTTTTAAATTTTAATTTATAGGAAATTTGAGATGTTTAATGTTTACCTTTAAGCAGTACTAACCAAATTTGAATTTAATTCTTCAGGTTTACAAAACTTGATATACTTTGTTATGTGTAAATTTTCTTTTTTGAATATAAGTTACAATGCTTTTCATTACTTCCTTTTCTATGTGCTGCAGGGTTTTTAATATGCAGTGTAGGGTGAACAACAAAGAGCAGTGCTTGCCTAGGAGCAGCTCTCTGATGCTTCCTTCTTCCCTGCTCATCAAAAGTGAAATAAGACACATGAGTGTGATGCACCAAACACTATCTTAGTATAATGGAGAAATTAATTTTCCCTTCTGCTGCAGTTATTGATTGCTATTAGAATGTTTGCTCCCAGAAGAAATTTGTGACCAGTCAGGCATATATTTCTATTTTACCCTAAGATTCTAATGACTGAGAAGGGTAGGAAGTTGGCAATAATTCCAGTTACTTCTTCAAGTGCAGTTATATCAGAATGCAGATGTTTTAAAAAATGCTAGTAAACTGGATGGTGTGTAATACACAGTATACAAAGGAATACTGTATTTTAAAGTATGTATATTTTTACTGATCTGCCAGTAGATCTCACTGTACACATTGATGGTTTATATATTATATAATAGATACTGGTCAGCTCATATCAAAGCTTAAAAGTAGGTCATTACTTTAGTCACCCAAGTTGAAATTGAATTTCCATTGCCGAGTTATAATTTGCGTCACTCTAGAGACCTTTTCTTAGTAGCTGATGTCAAAAAATTATCTTGAAATAGAATGATCTATGGTAGTATGGTCCTTGACAAACATGGAGCCTTTTTGTATGTGGAGACATTTTGTATTATTTAAGTTTTTCATTTGGAATATTGCAAAACTATATGTGTAAAAAGTGTGTGTGCTAGTGATCTTTCCCCTGAAAATGATATAGAACAAATCGACTGTTCTGTAACCACATACATATTTTCTAACAGGTAGTTGTAAAATAAGGAATCATAGCTGGGAATTACTGAAACAGAGATTATTATTGTTAGCCAGTCAGCTGTACTGTGGCTATTTCTTTCAGATACTGTAAATGTCTTATAAAAATTTTGAAGTAATAGAATAAGCTCTTTTCAAAAATATTAATACCATAATTTCATGTTCTAATTATGTTTATTTAAAAACTTAGAAGTGGCAGATAAAAATATTTATTGGTGCTAAGACATATAGTGAGTTTAATATAAGACACATTTATAAAGGTTAGGAAACAAAATTAGTATGTTTATTTTAGGCAAAGGGGTTGGATTTTGTGCAAGGTGATTGGCTAAATTGGCTGATGACAGACTCTAAAAGGAAGTGGTATATATGTGATGTAGGGAGATAGAAGTTGATGCCTTCAGCTGTATATATTCTGTTCACAGAAGACCTGGAGCCAAATGAAGGCCCAGTTTGGAGCTTTGTAGACTTGCTTATACTCCAGTAGTAGCAGTAGCTATGACACAAGATACTCCCCTTGCTGGGGATTTGCGGGTCTGGTTTTCCTAGGTTTACCACTTCTAGGGCACATTCCCTTCCTTTTGTCTTACTCTCCCAGGTCCTGATCCCTCTCCGCAGTTTCATTGAATTATTGAACTACAAATGAATGCACTAGTTTGAGCTACAGAATGCTATTATCGATGTATTTACACAGTCTATATTGCAGTATATCTATATATACTTATGCAGTATTGTCAAATGTATATGTCTAACCCCACTTAGGGGTTTGTAATCACAGATTCCTAGAGAAAAGCCTGTTGGCCATTTCCTAGGGATTAAGCTCCTACGTTCTTTCTGCGCCCTCTTTTGGCTAATTGATGTAATTATACTGGCTGTAGAGGCTTTTACTATCCCATTAGTGGGTTGTATCTCCAAACTGTGAACATGCCAGAGGTACACACTCATGGGAATATATGTATAAAAGTGTAAAGTTTTATGAAAATTGAAAATGAATGTGTTACTGTTGGTGATGTTCTGTCTAGATAAATTACTTGGCTTCATGTATGTATATTCTTATACACTTTACTGTCAATCACAAATTTAGATTAGGATAAGCTATTCCATATCTTACTTTAAACCTTATTTTGGTAACTTAATTTGTTATCATTATAAAAATTTACTTTAAAATTACTATATGATTACAGAACAAAACATTTATTACAATTTCCATGGCAACCATGTTATCCAGTGTGTTTTACTGAATATCTTAAAAAAATAATACATCTAATTTTTTCAATTCAATTTTGGAATGGTATCACACATACACAGACTCAATTGCCTTAAAATGATTAATAATTGATTAATGATACTATTTTTTTCTTTGCTTAAAAAAAAACTTCTCAGAGTTAAACCTATAGTTTGAATAGCTACTTCATTTGCCACTCTGAGTAACCATGGGAATAATTACATGTGTGGAGTATGAGAAAGCAACTGAGAAATGAGATTTCCTATTAGTCTATATATTGCATTGAAATATTTATTCATTTAATTTTAGCAAAATGTGTGTTAAATGATATTTTTTGCATTGGCAGAATCATTGCTTGGTCTTCTGGAGTTAAAATATCAGGCTGCATTTACACTTGGTAAACAATTAGGGTTGGGCTTGCAAGGTGGCTCAGCACATAAAGGTATTTGTTGCGCAAGACTGGTGAGCAGATTGTGGTTTTCAGAACCCATTTAAAGGTAAAGTTGAAGAAAAACAAAACCCCCCAAAACAAACCTGATTCACAGAGTTGTCCTGTGACCTCCACACACATGCCTTGGCACTCATAGCCCTCCCCATCATCATACTTATTCTCCCTCCCTCCCTCCCTCCCTCCCTCCCTCCCTCTCTCTCTCTCTCTCTCTCTCTCTCTCTCTCACACACACACACACACACACACAATTTTTAAAAATCTAATTGAATAAGCTTAATGTAGGCAACAATGGACTGAATTCAGAATCTTCTAAGCATTGAGTGATCTATTAAAGAGTTTTGGTACTTTGTAATCAGACTTATGTTTCAGTTTACTAAGCTAGCTAATGTTACATGAAAATAAAAACACTATTTTGTTTAGAAATTATATTGGGATATTTTGGTAAACACAAAAGAGCCAATTACATTGTAGCTAGCACAGGAACCTTTCTTTTCAGAAGTCAGTTTAATAGTAATAAAGTAGGGGCTGGGGTACCTCAATGATGGAGTGCACAGAGGTCCTGGATTCAAGAACCAGGAAAAGAAAAAGAGCATCCAGACCATAAGTGCAGGAGATGCAGAGGAAGTGAGGCGAATGTCTCAGAACCAACACCAGAACACGACACTAAAGTGTAGAAGGGGCTCCATTCAGGATGCAGCTCACTCTAACCTTTCTTAATCAGACTCCAGGTTACTTCCATACAGATAATTAACTGTCTTGCTCGATAGATGTGTTAATTCTAAACACTAGTTTCATAGACTCAAATTAAGAACTCACTTCCAAACAGGAGGTACAAATGAATTTAGATGAAAGCCACATAGTTTTCTGTGTTAGTTCATGGGTAGTTTGAATGCTCTTACCTATATTGCTAAAAATCACAACTTGTCTTGCAGAGACTTAATATGACACTAATATTCGTTAGCATATGCTATTTTTTTTCTAAACTGTCTATTCTCTGGCTAGTTCTGTTGTTGTAAACCTAGCCTTTAACGGCTGAGCCATCTCTCCAGCCCTGGCTAGTTCTCTTGTATGTCACGTATCAGTAGATAACCTAGCTACAGTTAATTAAACTATAGTACTTCATTGTGTAAATTTTGACATGACCTCTACTATACATAGACTATATTGGGAATTTATTACAAACATCATGTAATTTACTAATATTAAAACATTAGACTTTCATCTGCCTCTACTAATGCTTTGAAAATTACTATTGGCAAATGTAGTTAGTAAGTCCTATAAAGTTAGTGTGTTCTACTTGCTAGTATTATTGACCATGTAATTAGCTAATAAGTGAGTATATGATTCAGTATCCACGTATATTACCTTCTGTTTAGGTACCATGCTCGGAATTCATCTATAAATAAAAATCTTAGTGTAATTTATGTTTAGCTGTTCTAAGATTCTAGAGTATTCTGTAGTAGAACATGGGGAAAGCTTGGAAGCTGTTTACTTGAAATATTTTATACCAGTATTGTCACTGACTATATGTACCAATATTTAGTATTTATGCTGCCTTTGTGATGGTTTAAATTCAAGAAGTGACTTTCTCACTTCTTCCATTGTCTTTGTGCATTTTTTTAAACAAAATTTATTTTTAAAAGCCATTTTGTTAAAACCAGTAACATTTTTATTGGTTCTTTAGATGTGGCAATATTACCTGCTAGTGATAACTTGGATAAAATTGTTATTTTATTATTATTTGGAGACAGGGTTTTACTGGTTTTGAACTCAGATTCCTTTTGCCTTCGCCTCCCAAGTTCTGGGATTACAGGCATATGCTGCTGTTCTTGGCTCAGTGCTTAAAATCTTAAGTCATTGGTATTACAGATTTGACTATTATACCTTTTATGATATTATTTTCTCCCCCTTTCTACCCTATAGTTCAGGTTCCAAGGAGTAGCAAATAGCCAAAAATTGGATAAAGAAAGTAGGGGACATTAGTAAGATGGAAAGAAGGCTAAATGGACATGAATAGTCAGCATCTCTGCAAAAGCGTTGACTAGAATTGGAGCTGTGATACCAGAGACACCTTGCTGGCTCCTGGTCCCAGGCTAGCACCGTTTTACTGTAAGAGTCCTTCGTTCTGGGAAGCAGTTGGTCTGAGTTATTTAACCTTCACTTAGGTTGCTCTTTCTCTTCAACTGGCCAGATGCTCCTGAGAGATTATTTTTAATTTTAGATCAATTGTTTAGGATATGTTAACCTGCATCATTTTTAGCATGCATATGTTAAAAATAACATGGACGTGTAATTGTGTAATACAAAGGAGAAGTGATAGGTTGCCCAAAGCTTAAGAAAACTGGAACCTATTTTAGGAGTCTCTTATGGCAAAAGAAGACTACTGAGTTACCAGAGAAAACCAACAGTTTAGGTATGAAGGGTGGCTTACACTTTAAAAATTGGGATCTTTTGCTGTTCTTGAGACCATGAAGGTCTTCCTTTCTGTTAGCCTCTCTAATTCATTACCTCCTGCATGTACCGGCAGTGCTTCCCACACTTGCTCAACTGTGTAATTAACTAATTACACACATTTTACGTATTTTTCATCTCAGTAATTTTGGTGTAAAGATACAGTCTGAACTGCCGTAACCAGGCACGTCTCCTTTTGTAGCTTTGCTTGCCTGTTTCACTCAGTGCAGTGTCTGATCGTTTGTAGGCTGTCATTTAGAAAGAAGACCCGTGTGCATACTGTGAGCTCTGTGTAGATGGATGGTATCTTAACCTACTGGTGCCTGAGCAACTAAAACATCCTGGTGCTATTCACTTTAGCTTTGAGTTACATTCTTAGTTCTTGAACCAAAGAGTTAATTTTCTTTTTGGTTGTCTGGGAGTCAGCTTCTCACATCTGTGTCTGAAGAAGTGCAGTCAATTGACAGAGCTTACTTTCTGGGAGTGCTGGCTCAGCGGAGTAAGTGGAAAATGATTCTTATTTAGACTTAGGTTTTATTCTGTTATGCAGAGTAGTGTGGCTTTTAGTTTTGTATGTTAATATAGTGTGGCTACTTTTTGAGGTATTTTACTAGGCCAAAGCTACTAAAATGATTGAATCACTTTTCCCCTTCATTTCACTTTGGTAGAGAAGAAAAACATTTATTTCTATAAGCAAAATATTCTATTAGACACCTTTAATGATTACTCAACCAAATGCTAAAGTAAAGGGCAAATCATGGGTCCATTTTTTAATTACAAGTCAAGAATTTAGCATTTCTCTGTGTGGAGATATAATCCTTAATGGCTTTAAAGAAATGATACAGGTTATTTGCCCACTTTAAAATTAAAGGGTGCTTTAAAAAACATATAAACCATACACACATGTATGTGTGCACACATGCATATCATACGCAAACACACACTTTCCCAATGCAAAAGTATCTTGATTTAAGCAAACATCCCAACAAAAATTAAACTTTACAGCCAAAGCAGTCCAGATGCCGCTGCTTACTCTACATGAAAATTAGGGTAAGATTGTTTCACAAAGTAATTTTTTTAGTGATTTGTTTTACATAAGTGGCAGAATACAGTCCTGTGGATGATACTGCTGCATATGGGTGCCTCTCTATTCTTCCCTGGAAGCTCTATAAATGCTCATCCGTGTCTGTTTAGAACTGAAGCTGTGGTGGCTGGTGACTCAGGCAAGGAAATGACAGTGGCTGGGAAAGTGGACAGTCACATTGAAATACTTGTGTTGTTTCCATCAGCTTTAGTCAGTGTCTCTGTTATGGTTTTGCAGTGAATTCTTAATGGAAAAAAGGATCAAGTCTAAAACTTGAGAGGTGACGAGCCCATGGGTGTAAAGTATGTCCAGATGAGCAGATAAGGAAGGACGGGCTGCACTGTGTCTCTTGTGAGTTATGTTGCCACTGGATTGATTCTTAATAATCCCACTGCTTGTGCATTGTTCAAAAGGCAGAGTGCAGTAATTTTTCTCAAGTTGTAGATAGTAATGAATTTACCACTGCTTTGTCTCTTTGTGTGATTATTAAAAAGCAAAGAAAAAATTAATATAGATGGAAAGAAAGCAACTGAAGGTACAAAAGGAAGAAATTCCACCCCAGTCAGAGGTATTTAGATAAATGGATTGCAAACCCAAGGACAGAATAGACTCTTGGGAAACAGACCACATGGACCACAGTAGCTGAGCATGCTCCATGCCTGGGATTAGTCTGGCAAGTGTAATCACCACGTAGCACACAACATCTCTGTCATTTTGCGACAGTTTGCTCTCAGCCCCAGTTCTCACATAAACTAAATGAAAGACCCTTCTTGAGTTTCAATAATGGTAGTAGTATAGGTGCCTGGGAAGACCCTGTCTTGAAACGTGTCAGTGTGCTTTTCATTCAGCTGTAGCATGTATAAGTCTGAGGGCCGTGTGCCTACCTCGTCTGCTGTTTTGCTTTGCCCTTACCCTAGGAGAGTCTGCAGTACCATTTCTCATGTTAGTGGTAACAAGGAAGAGAGCGCATAGAGAAGGAAGAGTGCTCTGAGGGAGGGAGGAAGCCGACAGGACAGGTGGGAACTAGGAGATACTCACTTGTTTAGATGAGAAGTCTACACTGGTTTTTCTAATGAAAACGAACTATGTATCTACCTTAAGAACAACATTGCTTTTAATTTATTTTAGTGATTTTGTTTTAGTCATGTAATATTCTGTATTCTTTGCAAATTGCTTTTAATTTAAATTGTGGAATTTTTACTTCTCTTGAAATGTACTATGTACTGTATTTTTAGAAATCTTATTTTTAAATAAATATTTTTGAAAAACATAGGAGTGTTTTTTATCTCCTTACCTTCTTTATTAAAATATACCCAAATTCTGGATTTTAGAACAACCATGTTTTAAGAATTCTCCCCTCCCCAAACTTTGTGCCATTTAGATGAATACTTAAAATTAGTGGCTGTTCTTCTACCACAGTCTCAGAATTCATTACATATTTGGGAAAACCTAGGTACACAGATTGGATTTACAATTGTCAGTATTCCTAGGTAGGCATATTATTTTAGAGATGAGATTGCTGCATTCAGCTGCCCAATGTGTTTCGCTGTGTGCTTTTTACAGAAATCCTTTCCTTGCACACAGTGCAATGTGGAGTTTCATTCTAGACACTGCTTTACACCCTGAGGTTTGGAGTTCCTGAAAGCACTTAGGACATTACTTTATGCAAATTTTAAGGGTCTCAGGTCACTGCTCGCTGTGAATGCAGAGTATACTAGTGAGAATGAGCCGAGCATAACTGTCAGGGCCCCGCAGGTGACCTGTCAGGTTGCCCTAGGGACAAGAGTGAATAGCTTTTATCCTTTGAGATCCTTAGATGTTTTAACAGAAAAGCAATGTTGACACTCTGTGTTAACATGACTTATAGTTGAGTCTGTAAGTTTTAGAGAGCCAAAGACTCATTGCCTTCTGACAATTTCAGGGGCTATCAAACTTTTACCTGGTTCTGTTACTTTTTTTTTTTTTTTTTTTTTTTTTTCTTCCCTAATTCCAAGTGGCATTTGCTCAGTGGGAATATATTACAACAATTTTCATGTTTTAGCCTCAGGCCTCTTTAATAATCATAAAAAAAATTACAAATAATTGGTATTGGGGTAGGTTTCAAAACAAGGTTTCTCTGTATAGCCCTGGCTGTCCTAGAACTCACACTGTAGATCAGGCTGGCCTTGAACTCACAGAGATTCTCTGCCTCCCAAGTGCTGGGATTAAAGGTATGAGCCACCACCGCACGGTGATATTGGTATTTTTTTTAAAACACGGTTATTGCTATTTACTATATCCGAACTTAAAAAGGGAGAGACTAGGGGAAATGTGCCCCAGTTACAATTGTCTATTGCTCTCGAAGAGGACCTGAATTTGGTTTCTGGCATTCACATCAGGCAACTAATAACTGGATTACTTATCTCCTGAGGATCTGATGCCCTCCTCTGCCTTTTGCAGCTGCCCACACACAGCTGTGCATGCACATACATAAAACAGACATGCATACGTACAAAACATGACAAGTGTAAGAGGGGAACATCAGATGTGCATACATTTAAACAAGCTCACCATGAATTAACAATTCTAATTAATATTTCTGTAAAATATAGCTGCCTTCATAGAAGGAAGTTGGTTTCACTTTGCTTTCTCATTTAATCAGTTACATTGTTACTGTGATTGATCTGAAGAGATTTGGTCTTGTGCAAAAAATTTAGTTGGAAAAGGAAGGAGTATTTTACCAGCCTCAAGATACTCTTTTTGTATGATACGGTAAGCACAAGTCTGGACCAGGGATGATGGCTGTCACCAAGAATACAAATGACAACTAATGCTGGTGTGGGTATGGAAAAGAAGAATCTTTACATACTGTGGCTGACAGTGTAAACTGTTGTAGCCACTTTGGAAATCACTGGAAGTTTCTCCAAAACCAAGAAATAGCACTACCATATGACCCGGCCACAATGTATATGTTCCCAAAGCCCTGTCTCACTCCAGAGATGCCTGCATATGATACTTATTTCTGTATCCAAATAATGTAGGCAAAGGAAACAACTTAGCTGTCTACCAACTTATGAATCACAAGTGTATATATGCACACTTTTCATCTGTCAGGAAAATTTGCAGATAATGTGGAATCTAAGAAACTAGGAAATGGAACATAGTGGGGCAGGGGTTTTGGATAAGGGGGAACAGATAAAGGGAAGTAGAGAAGGAACATTAGGGTTGAAAGGTTTAAATAGGGAGGCAGTGAGGAGGGTTAACCAAAATGAACAGTATTTAAACAAAAAAAAAAGCCAAGTGGGGACCTATTGTTTTATAATTCATTTAAGAAATACAAAAGAGAAGTTGAAGCAAGTCACCCTACGTGGTTAATGAAACTGCTTCTAGAAACAGTGGGTTACTAAACAAATAACCAGACACCTTCACAGGAGCTGATCAGGTAGGCCCCAAAGGGTCCCAAAAGAATGATGCCCTTGTGGGTATTTAAGGTCCATTCCACAGAAGGGAACCCATGTCTAGTACTGTAACCCCAGGTAACAATCCATGCCTGGGGAAGTCCATGTCTACGGAAGAAACTTACTACTGTAGCTTAACTAAATTAACATAGCATCAAACTGCTGCCCAAGTGTCTGTTTATACATATATATATAAAAGTGAACAGCAGTGAATACTGCTGCCCAAGATCCTGAGCAAAAGTGACAGTTCAGGGCTAAAATCACCCCATCTAAAGCTCATCACAGAAGAGGAGGAAGGAAGAACGTAAGAGCCAAGGCTAGAGTGGAATGCCGTTCTCTAGATTCATGCAGCGGTTGTAATCATGAACTCAAAGCTGGTTACCTGTGCTGCACCACCGAAGACTGGCCTTGTCAAGAATCCATCATGGAAGTGGATTCCAAAGTGCTGAAGTATTGGTTGACCACTGGTAGATTCTGGGAGGGGGGGCATCATTGTCTTCAGGTGTGTATCCCATGCTGAGTCTACCCAGCTCAGACAGCGCCACACTCCATTACACAGGTGGCCCCTGGTTACATTGATTGTGACAAAGGTTTGTAGGGTAGGGTGAGGGTGGCCAGGAGAGTAGGGGCTTGGAATGATTAGCGTACATTATATATGTATGTCAAAGAATTGTCAAAGAATGAATTTAATAGACCCTTACATAATCCATACATAATAGTTTCTTCTAATACTCACTAAAAATCCATTGGTCTTACTCTTTGGAATGTTTGTCATGTAAAATAAAATTGGTGTCCCCGCTGTTCTGAGAAAACTGAGGACTACTAGAAGCTGCTGAGCTCCTGGAGGCTACAGATTGCGAGTGTTAGCCTTGGCAACCTTGTGGGACCATTGCTTTTTCTCTAAGAAACAGTTAAACTTCACTTGTGTTTGAGAAAATGTCCACTACCCAAGTATAGAAAAAGACTGCCAGTTATTCAGGTGTTCAGAGTATTTGGCCAGCTCAGCCTGCAGTTCACAGTAACAACTGACATTTTCCTCAGGAGTGAGCAGCATGCTCCCAAATTCCCCCAGAGGGAGTGCTTTCAGTGTATCCTCATCTCTTCGGTGGTGAGAATGTACTCTAGATGGAGACTTGGTATGGCGAATGGGTTTCACTCCATCATCAAGGACATTATTAAAAGAGACTAGCTCTATACTATTTTTTTAAAACTAGACTTTATTCAAATCTAATTCTTGTTTGGGGAGGAGAGTGCTGGAAGACAATAGAAGAGAAAATATGTATTTGCGTCTTGATTTCATTTGCTCTGTATTTCATCATGACAAGAAATATTGGCTGCTTGAAGTTATTCTAGCCTTCGAGCACTTCAAAGTACAGTGTCCCTTACAGACCCATGCTAGTTAGCCTTATTTACAGACAAGAGCTGAAGATTCATGATAGTTCTCTAAGACAGCAGAGACATCAGGGAAGCTGCCAGACAGTGCAGATGAACAAATGCATTTGGATGCTCTAGGCTGACCAATTACCCATAGAGCAGCAATTATATTAGCGTGCAAGGGCAATTGGAGAGAAAATTGGACCCTGTGGACATCCAGCTGAGCAAACAGCACCGAGGAAGGATAGAGGATATGTGCTTGAAAAAAACCCGACATCCAAGCTTACTTATAAAAATATTTGTCTCAGTCACAGCACATTCTTTGTGTGGCCTCTCCTGTCTAGTGCTTTTCTAATTAGTCCTTCTCCACAAGTGAACAGTGTCTTCAACAGTGTCTTCAAGATCAAATACCCAAGTAGTAACAGGCTTTTTATTTTTTTTATTTATTTATTTATTTATTTTGTAAAAATGCCAAAACATCCAGGATAGGGCAGTTGTTCAGGTGTTCAGATGACTATGCACCTGACTCCTTAGTCGGTCTAATGTTGGCACAGCCTTCCTCAGCACTGAAATTCATAATGCCTTTAAGCTAGATGGGTCCCCTAGAGCTAACGTGATGATTCTGGGCAAACCCAAATATTTGGGGGGAATATGATGTGCAGGCTTTCTAAGTCCACTTGGGAACTCTGTGTGTGTAATTCTTTGTGGTAAGCAGTGATCAGCAGGTTAATGGCGTGTTCTCTACATGGGTAAGCTGTGAGTTGTAGGGCGAATGCGTCATGCAATCGAGCAGCTTCGTATTTTGTTGAATCTGGAAGCTACCAGCACAGAATTTTTTATTTATTTTTTGAGGGGTTGTCTACTTGTTACGACTTGGAGTCTGACTTTGTTAGTGGGTGTTCAAAGCTATTTCAGATATTCTCTGAAACACAGTCCTAATTAGTCTAAATAATAAAAACATGGAGTCGGATATTGGAGTAAAAGTCAGAAGATCAGAGAAGTAAAGGACCAGCCACAATCAGCACTTACCTCTCCTCGGACCGAAAAGGGGCTGAGAATCCTGCTTCTTTTGTTACAGTTATAGGAATAAAGCTGGAGAAGGGGGTGGTGGTCCTGAGTGGGGATCCCAAGGTAAGGGATCACGTGGGAGAGCATAGCAGTTTCCATAGCAGGGTGACCAAGGCAGAATGAATGACACGCCAGGCAGATAGAGCTTAAGTGAGAAGTTTATTTAGAAAGGGGAGTGAGGGGGAAGGGAAGAGACAAAGAAGCACCAGGAACAGGGGTGGGGGGTGGAGGGGAGTGAGGGGGTGGAGGGAGGGAGAGAGAGAAGAGGGAAAGAGAGAGCAAAAGAGATCATAAGTGGGTGGGGGCTGTCTTTTAAAGGGTCCTTTACACCTGCCTGCAGACTAGTACTCATGGAACCCTGGGCTGACTAGAGCACTGCCTGAATGCATTC